TTTTCATTGATTCTAAAGTTTTAGAAATTTGACTTCTATCCCTAAAGTTCTAGAAGTTTAAGGCTAAAATTTTAAATTTTATAATTCTTAAATTTGATTTCAAAATAAACATTTTCAAAGCTTCGTTTCTTAGGATTCTAAACTTCTACAAACTCAATTCTCATTTTTTTATTTTATTTTCCTATTCTTGTTCTCAATTCAGTGTTTCTAACTTTATAGTTTCTAAAATTCATCATTTCATCTACGATTTCGGAATTATTAGAAGTTTATCAAAACCTTGCTAAAATCACTTGTACGTTTATTTCCGCCATCTTACATTGACATAACAAATAAAACAGACAACTTCTATATTAAATACAATTTATTAAATTTTCAACTCAAAAAGTCCCCACTCTACACCTCAAACTTGCGACTTTTGCGGCTGCTGCTCGGCCGCTTTCTCCTTATTCCAATCCTTCAGTCCTTCCGGCAGACTCGTATCCTCCTCCAACGACCCCGTCCCCTCGACAAACTCCTCATAGGTCGACTTCTCGGGGAATGGCCTCTTCCCCAACAACTCGATCATATCCTCCCTGCTGATAATCTCCTGCTTGAGGAGGCGCTCCGCCACGCGCGCCACCTTCTCCTTATGCTCCGTCAACAGCGCCGTCGTCCTCTTGTGCGCCTCCTCGATCAAATTCCGCACTTCCACATCAATCATCTGCGCAGTGCTCTCCGAATACGGCTTCTCCATGATCATTTCCCCCTCTCTCGGCATATCAAAACTCACATTACCCACTTTCTCGTTCATTCCGTAATGCACCACTTGGGCGTAGGCACTCTGTGTGACCTTCTTCAAATCGTCTTGGGCCCCCGTTGTGATCCTATTGAAGAAAAGCTCCTCGGAGACACGCCCCCCGAGCGTCATGCACATCCTATCAAACAACTGCTCTCTACTGTACAAATACTGGTCTTTGGGCAAGTACTGGGCGTACCCAAGACCCTTCCCCCTCGGGATTATAGACACTTTAAGGAGGGGATCAGCATAGCGGAGGAACCACCCCGCGACAGCATGCCCCGCCTCATGATACGCCACTGTCTTCTTCTCCTCCGGTGACAAAACATTCGTTTTTTTCTCCATCCCAGCAACAACTCTCTCAATCGCTTGCTCGAAATTCTTCATAATAATCGACTCGTTTAAATCTCGCGCCGCAATCAACGCCGCCTCGTTACAAACATTCGCTATATCAGCACCGGTGAATCCCGGAGTTAGCGCCGCCATTTTCCTCGCCAATTCCCCTTTATCAAGCTTAGTTTTCAACGGCCCTAAATGTACTTTAAATATACTCGCACGGCCCTTAATATCAGGGGCCGGAACGAAAATTTGTCGATCAAACCGGCCCGGTCGTAATAACGCTTTATCTAAAATGTCAATACGATTTGTTGCGGCTAAAACTACGACGTTTGTCGTTGTGTTAAAACCGTCCATTTCGACTAAGAGTTGATTGAGGGTGTTCTCCTGTTCGGAGTGGCCCCCGAAACTGCGGCCCCCACGTTTGCGGCCCACAGCGTCGATTTCGTCGATGAAGAGGATGCAAGGGGCGTGTTTGCGGGCCATTGAGAATAAATCGCGGACGCGTGAAGGGCCTACGCCCACGAACATTTCAAGGAATTCGGAGCCCGAGACTGTGATGAAGGGGACGTTGGCTTCGCCGGCGGTGGCTTTGGCTAGGAGGGTTTTACCCGTGCCTGGGGGGCCCGTCAACATGGCGCCTTTAGGGATTTTCGCCCCCAGGTCGATGTACTGTTGGGGGTTTTTGAGGAAGTTGACGAATTCCATTATCTCGATTTTGGCCTCCTCACAACCAGCCACGTCTCTACATTAAAAAAAAGTTCGATTATAAAATTTGAATAGTAAAAATATATACTCGTTTTCATATTACTATTATGCACCGAAGTAGTCGTTGAAAATGATTATTTTAAGGTGGTAACCATGCTAAAATTCAAACAATCCTAACCTCAATCTTCCCCAAAAATTATTTTTTCATCACAACGTGATTAACATAGAATGACAAACTTAAAATTTTTTATTGTTATTGATGTGATTTAATTTGTTCTGAATGACATTAATGACACTTTTTGTGTAAATCGGCCTTTAAATTAAAGATTCATTTAGACTTCTACAACCTACTTGATGATTAATATAAAAAAGAGTATAATAAACGTTCAACAATTTAATCAAAATTAATTAATTAATTTCCGGAATTTTCAGTGTTGGTAATTATGAAAAACTATAAGATGTAAACCATTTTTTGAGTTTTTTTTTAGTTGTTATTTTATTT